TCTCTCTCTCTCTCTCTCTCTCTCTCTCTCTCTCTCTCTCTCTCCCCTCTCTCTCTCCCTCGGCTGTACACGCGCGTGGAGAAAACGGTTTTCGATTTGAGAGATGCGTCAGCTGATTGCGTTAAACGTCCGCTCCTAGGAATGTTTAGAAAACGAGTCGTAAATAGCTAATGGGTCAATAAAGCCGCGCGAGACGCAATTGGGTTTACGAGATGTTACTGGGAAGGTTCACGGACGCATGCAGCATGCGAGAGCTCGCGAGAAAGTGCACGGCACGTAAATGCGTGTAGGCAGAGGCGCGTTAAAATCGGCGACGTCATTGTGATAGCTATTCCCCATTAGAAAAGTACCTGTAATCGCAATTCGCCACGACTTCTTGAACTTCTTAAATTATATACTTTGAATTTAAGAGTCATCGGAGTCTGATACGCTCCTAACGCGATTGCTATGATATTAAATTGTCTAACGTATTCAAAGGCTCTTCAAAAAATCCTTCCAACGTCTATAAGCGTGTAAATACGACTTGTGACGAGTACAATCGTGTTTTGATAGCACATAATAGCATGTACTATCATGCAGACCGAGCGCATATTATCGGTGATAATACTGGTGAGTCATAACTAATTCGAGCCTCGTAGCTCGAGCATATACAAGTTTGCGGTTCTGCATTCAAAGGATTATAACAAACACACAAGATGTGTATTTGTTAATCTCATTCTACATATGTATATGCGCATCATCAAATATCTTTTATTACTTTTAAATTACCCTATTCGAGTGTATCATTATCTAGCAGCAAGGACTTTAATACGAGATTCGTTGTGACTTGTCTCTCAATATCCGTCCGACTCGGAGAGAAACGCTTGTTCGAGTGGAAGTTCGAATAGTCGCTTATCACAAAAGGACGTGATGACAGACCTGTGATTCTATCTGACCCGATTGACCAATTAAAAAGTACGATCGGCCGCCGCGCCGTGGCAAACGACGAGCGATTAATCCCGACGACGGAATACGGAGCGAAATTCGTCGGTAAAAATCACGGCGAGAGACGAGTGGCGGAACAACTCGAATTCGCGCTCCAAGTCGGCTCACGTAATAAATCAACCCGCTCGTAAATTCCGTAACGAGTCCTCGTCGTGCGTAATCGTGGAATTATATCGTCATTACGGAATGTCGATTGCGCAAGAACAATTAAGCCGGTTAGAGCGCGAGGTCAACGATAATACGCGAAAGTACGGGATGTGTCCGACGTACTTTTGTCTCTTTGCCGAATTGCAAGAATTATCTCGTTCCGCGATTACGCACTCTTTGTTCGTCGTTCGATCGGCAAAAATCGCGGAATTCACATGCGTAAATTATCGTGTTGCGCCTTGACACATGCTGAGCAATGCAACGCGTGTCGATCGTCAAAACATGAATGCACCAGTTTGCGCGATCTCGGAAGAACGCGAAGGCTGAACTGCGCCACGGATTTGGCAACAAATTGAAGAAATCGACGGTATTGTTCGGAAGCCACGTGAATTTTTTTGCCGCTTCGCGAATATCGTACAGAACGGTTTCTCTTTTCGCGCGACGGTTTCCATTGTAACCTTGATACGTTAGAGCGCGACTGCAGTTGCAGTCGCCGCATCAACGTGCTTTTTTTGCACGGTGATATGGCTTGATTGTTCATGTGCCAGTAACGATGAGTATTATTTAAAGCGACTTCCTGCGAGACCCACTTTGCGTGAAAGGAAGAATCATTACTTGCGGTTCTTTCGACGCTACTACCGACACGTGACTCTAAACCCCACATTGACCCAGACTGCGTGAGCTGACTGCCTCTACCATCGCGTACCCCGTGCCCGGGATCATTCACGGGCGAAGACGTACGTGTTAACTGTGTTCGTGTGTATTACGCGAGAGTTTTCTCATAAGCGAGAAATTTTTCTTTGAAGAAGCCCCCACGAATCACGGGATAATTCAGAAATGCGAGAGAAACCCGTAGAAAAAATAAGTAGAAGAGAAAGAATATCAATAAAGTCAAAAATTATTGTATCTATTATTAATATTCTGTAAATAATTTGTTGATTGTAAAATGTTGATCATATATCTTGAAAGGTAAATCGATCTCTTGGGAGGAATTTCGCGAAGTAAAAACATTTTCTAAAGAGGATTCTCGTTAGAGAGCCCTGAAAGGATTCGTGAATGACCCAATATCCCTTTTCTCCTGCTGTTCATTTACCACGCACTTCGATTGCTCCTAACGACGTGTTGCAGCAAGATTATTGCACTTTGCGAAGATATCGTCGCATGTACACGTGTTCCGCGGTCGTGATGTAAGAGGTGACCGCTGTCAACGTACGTTCGCTCATAAAAGCTGTCTGAAAATTACATGTTACTTTCTTTCGCGCAAAAGATGACCTAAAGAGATATTCCGAAGAGAATCAATGAAGAATAAGAAAGACAGATTGTAGCCAAGCAGAGAAGAACTCACATAAATATCATTATTATCATAACGCATCGTAAGAGTAAACGAACCTTTTTACGTAGATGTCGCAAAATAGTGAAATCCTTATAAAATTCTCCGAAGTCTTTCTGTGAATTAAGAGACTGGGAATCTCTTCGGAAGGTCTCAGGCGAGTTATTTAGGTCACAATTGCGATTTTATTGCAACCTTGTTCCCAGCTAATTACAGAGTTGTAGGGTTCGCCGGTCGACGGTCGGATAATTGCGATATCGTAGACTCGCGCAACAATCAATGTAGGGGACCGCCGATCGATGTTACCGAAGATATACCGTTACCTGCCGTTACCTGTCACTTTCGGGTGTTCATTGATGAGCGTGGTGGGCAGGGAAATTGGAACCGTGTCGCCGGAAGTGGGGCTTTCAATAATGGCGAGTGTATAACGAGTAACGCGTTAGAACCCTCTCTGCGGATGCCGCAAACAGGAAACCCCTCGTTCATCAATTCGGCGCTGTAATTATTATGAGGCCAATTAATAGCGCGATATGGAATACGAATACTTAACCGTACCGACAAGTCGGACCGGGATTGCGCTCGTTGATCAACGCGGAGATCATTGATATTGGAGGCCGCGCTATGCAATCGTAACTGTGAAGTGGCCCTAACGTTGTTTTTTGTGGTATTTAAATAGGGAACGCCTGGGGAACTCCGCTTGTCGATCCGTGAAATGTTTCGCACGATTCGTGCGAGCGCCGTTTGTACATCCCTCGCGTTGTTTCGAATTGATTAGAAAAGAGCGCTAAATGATCGGCGGTATCGAGGTCAAAGAACTATTAGAATGAATAGGCGCGGCTATCTCAACTCTATTACCTCATATGAGAATTTAAGTTTAACTTGAGATTAGTTTAATGATTTTTATATCAGAAATATTTATAATTTTAAGATAATAAAATGATATAAGTTGGTTAGAGAAAGTTACTTTAAATAACATTTATTTAATAAATTATATATGAGTTAACAAAAAGATCATATTGCATGCATAAATTAAATTAATTTAGATTTTTAGAAATTCTTTTCTTCTCTCTTTGTTGGAAAGATTGAAATGTAGGTAATATAAGTAAAAATTACGACACACTTAACTTCTATAAAATATTTTATGAACACTTGTGTGTGTATTTTTGTTAAAATTGACACGTACAAATTTTTGATATATGTGCACGTGATGATGTAAGATTATTCAAGATGCGGTTCTATTCTGTAAGATGAAGAAAGAAAAATGACACT